CCCCAAAACCCCAAAACCCCAAAACCCCAAAACCCCAAAACCCCAAAACCCCTTTTGGAGGCAAAAATGTTGAAAATTAGACAGAATGCCTACATAAAATACAATAGTTATACTATTATACGTCCTAAAATGGGAGCTCACTGCCCACCGAATATTTATTGCAGGACTTGAGAGACCTGGCACAACGAATCTAGGTCATCCACAGGACGTTCAGCCTCTTTGGAGAATATAAAGTTTTCTGTACTTTTGGTTGATGAGAACATTTCCATTTCCTCTTTGACTGAGCCACCTTGTGATATCTTTGTAAAAATATTGGTATTATACTGATCCACTTCATCTTTGGCAAGTGTGAAGAGACTAGACTGTTCATAGGGATCCCTAGGAGCCTTCCTTGATACCTCTTTAGCCCGCTTGACCTTTAGCTCTCGCTTGTTTCTTCTGACCCTAAACTCTGAGATCTGAGTGGCTAATTGCCAAAATACCTTGGTTGAAATGAATTGTAGTCTCTGAAGTCATCTGGTTCACATCAAAATGGAAATAGGCAGTTCTTGTTACTACAGAGTTGCATGCTGTCCCCTCTATATATAAGGTCAGTTTTGGTTCATCCAAATAAAACAAATAGCTGCTAAAGGAGCTTCAGGATTTATGCTCACCTTGGATTCAGTAAGTGTATCTTCAACTGACAATATCACACAGGGCAATTCTTACTTGAGTAAGCCTATATTTGGGTTAGTTGACCGATTACAAGAAGAAACTTGGGATAGTAGTGAAGACATAGAATTGACACTCAAGGATCAAGAGTATTCGCAATATTTTGGGCAAACTCTGAAATTTTTTGAGCAAAATTTAGAACAATTCTTCAACATTTCATGAGAGTTATTTATGCCTACTTTTTTATCATTATAATTTGTTTTTATTAATTTGGATTTATTTAGACCTTAATTTACTAATAGGAATTCAGTAATCATACAAACCAATATCTTTTGAATGATAGAGTCACATGCTCCAGCTAATTTTTCGAATCCTCCTACTACTCATCCCCAAAGTTCCAACCACTGAATCCTGAAATGCTATTATCCCATGCTTAAACTCCGCAAACCTAGCTGCTAAATTCCAAGTGCCCTTAAGAGGAGTGGTTTAGGGTATCCTTCTTACAGACTCTCTTGATGCTTTCTTCAACACCTGTTCCATATTCAATATATTTAATTCTAAATGGGGTTTTGGGGTTTTGGGGTTTTGGGGTTTTGGGG